CCGAGTCGGCTTTGAAAGCTTTCGGGGAACACTTGGCTTGGGGGAGAATGAACAGGAACAGGAGGAGAGGAAGCGGAAAAGTAGGAGGATGAGAGTTGTTAGGAGTCTCTTGGGGCACCCTTGGGGTCTGTTGGGAGCTACTTGGAGGCCCGTTCAAGGCCTCTTGGAAGCATATCGGGGGCCTGCTTGGCCCTCTGGGGGGCCTTTCTGGGCTTCTTGGGGGTCTCTTTGGCCGTTTGAGAGCGTTCCTGTCCCGTCTTACGCCGTCTGGAGCCGTCTTGGGAGCCTCTCTGGGCCGACTTGGGGCCTTCTTGATGCGCCTCAGGGCAGTCTTGGAGACCATCTTGGGCGTCCTGGGAGGCCTCTTGGGCCGTCTTGGGGCCCTCTTGGGACCTTTTTGGGGGCCTCTTGGGCCGTCATGGGGCCATCTTGGAGGGCTCTTGGGGACTTTTGAAACGAACTTGGAGGCCTCTTGGGCCGTCTTGGGCCGTCGGACAGCCGAAAAGGCGCATATGCCAAAATGCTTCAAAAACCTAAGGGGAAGCAATGATTTGGGCATTTTCGAGCCTTCCTGGAGGGCCTCTTGGAAGCCTCTGGGCCGTCTTGGAGGCATCTTGCGGGCCTTTTGGACCGTCTTCAGGCCATCTTGGGCCGTCTTGGAGGCGTCCTGGGGCCATCTGGGCCGTTTTGGAGGCCATGTCGGCTATCTTGGGGGCATCTTGAGGGTCAGATTGGACCATCTGAGAGGCCATCTTGGACCAGCGTGGCCATCTTCGCGCCGTCTTGAACCATCTTGGAGGATTCTTTGCGGATTGAGCGCCTGTCCGGGTGCCCGGCGGGACGGGCCGAAACCATTCGGGAGCTCTTTTGGGAAAGAACCAACACCAAAACCCAGAGGATTCAGCGCGCCAAGCACCCCTGTGATGAAGAGGTTCGCCGAGCTATCGAACCATGTGTTCCCCGAGTCGGTTTCGAAAGCGTTCGGGGAACGTCTGGAAGAGGAAGAGAAGAATCCTCTACAGCCCTCTTCGGCCGTAGTGCGCCCTCTTCGAGCCGAGGGGAGCGCCTCTGTGGCCGACAGCTGGGCCAGAGCTTGACCAAGCTTTCGGGCCAGTTGTTCCCCGAATCGGTTTGGAACAACTTCGGGGAACGCGTCGGGGAATAAGAAGAGGAGGAGGGGGAGGATCCGGGAAAAAGAGGAGGAGGAGGAGGCGGAGGAGGAGGGAGAGGCCTCTTGGACGCTCTTGGGGCACCCTTGGGCCCTCCTGGGAGCTTCCTGGCGGCCTCTTGGAGGGTTTTGGGAGGCCTGTGGGGGTTTCTTCGTGGCCTTCTTGGCCGTCTTAGAGCGTTCTTGGTTCGTTTGACGCCGTAGGAAGCCGTCTCGGGGGCTTGTCTGGGCCGTCTTGGAGCCCTCTTGGGGCATGTCAGGGCTGTCTTGGAGGCCATCTTGGGCGTCTTGGAGGCCTCTTGGACCGTCTTGGGGCCCTCTTGGGGCCGTCTTGGGAGCCTTTGGGGACGTCATGGGGCCATCTTGGACTCCTCGTGGGCGATCTTGGGGCGATTTTGGGGTCTCTTGGACCGTCTTGAGCCGTCGTAATGCCGAGAAGAAGCAAGTTCCAACATCTTTCAAACATTTGAAACAATAATTGCTGTGGGCATCTTCGGCATTCCTGGAGGACTTCTTGGGGACCTCTTGGGCCGTCTCGAAGGCCTCTCGGCCCGTTTTGGGCCATCCTGAGGCCATCTTAGGCCGTCTTGGGTGCATCTTGGCCTGTCTTGGAGGCATCTTGGGGCCATGTTCGCCGTCTGGGAGGCCATCGTGGCCGTCTTGGAGGCCTCTGGGGCCCTCTCGGGGCCGTGTTGGGGGCCTCTTGGGCCGTCATGGAACGATCTCGGAGGCCTCGCGGGCGATCTTGGGGGCCTCGTGGGCCGTCTTGAGCCGTCGGAATGCCGAGAAGATGCAGATTCCAAAGCCTTTCAAAAACCTTGAGAAAATCCATGATGCTGACTTCTTGGGGCTCCCTGGAAAACCTCTTGGAGGCCGCCTGAGCCGTCTTGGAGGCCTCTTTTGGGGCTCTTGGGCCGTCTTGGGCCATCTTGAAGCCATCTTAGGCTGTCTTGGGTGCATCTTGGGCCGTCTTGGAGGCATTTTGGGGCCATGTTAGCTGTCTTGGAGGCCATCTTGGCCAGCTTGGAGGCCCCTTGAGGCCCTCTTGGAGCCGTCTTGAGGGCCTCCTGAGCTGTCATGGGGCCATCTTGGAGGCCTTGTGGTCGATCTTGGGGCGATCTTGGGAACCTCTTGGGCCGTCTTCAGCCATCGGAATGCCGAGAAGAAGCAAATGCCAACATCCTGCAGAAACCTATGGAAAATCAATGATTCTGGCCTCTTTGGGCCCTCCTGGAGACCCTCTTGGAGGCCGCTTGGGCTCTCTTGAAGGCCTCGCCATTTGGGGCCATCTTGAGGCCATCTTGGGCCGTCTTCAGTGCTCTTTGGAGCCATCTTAGCCGTCTTCGAGGCCACCTTGGCCGTCTTGGGGGCATCTTGGAGACCATCCTGGGCCATCTCGGCTGCTTGGAGGCCATCTTGGACCATCTTGGGGCAACAGAAGCATTGACAGAGAGCTTTTTCGGGTGGCGCCCGGGACGCGCCGGAGGCCCAGGGGGAGTTCTTGACGAAAAAGAACCTAAACCAAAACCGAGAGGATTCGGCACGCCAGGCACCCCTGTGATGAATCAACAGGGGGCGGCGGATCTATATGCCATCGGCCTATTCCGCCACCTTGCCTGGGTGGTGCATCAGATCGAATGGGCGTCGGTGGGGGTCTCCTGGTTGCCCTCTCTCGACTGTCTCGGCTCGGAGATTCTTGAAGTTTCTTGGGGCGGGCCATGGCGCCTCGTCGGGACCACCGTGGGGTTTCACCGGGCCCTCTTTGGTGCCTCGTGGAGCTTCTTGGGTGAGCCTGGGGGGGCTCCACTACGTGCTCCAGGCGCGCTGGCGGATCTGGCTTCTTTCTTACAGCTACAGGATGAGAGAAAAGATGAATTTTTGTACGGGTTGGAACACACTTGGACTACTGGGTATGGGTCTGGTTGCATTTTAAATTTGTTACTGTTTGACGGCGAGTTTGTTTTCGCGCGGGATCAAAATGAGTTCTTGGGCATGGCTGGAGCCGCGCGACCGCGCATTGCCGATGGTGATGTTGCGGCGGTGTACGCCTTGTTGTTATTCTTCTTGCCATGGGGCGAGGCTGTCATGGCATGTGGTGCAGGCGATGGCATGCCAGATGCGCTGTTGTTCCGGATGTTGTGTTTTTTCTTTCGCCTCTGCGAATTGCGAAAAGCGCAGCTGCGCAACCCGTTTTGGTTCTACGCTGCCTTCGCAGCCGTGGCCGAGCGCGAGAAGGAGATCGCCAAGCACGCCGTTCGAGCGCCCATGTTGTTTTGACTCCCTAGCGGCTTTCCAAAAAAATGGCCGTTTCGTTGGGGACATCCTCCAGAAGTTGGCTCTGGAGGCGGCCCTGAATCGACATGATGACGGACTCCGTTTTGGAGGGCCCCGAGACGCCACAACGGAGGCCCGAGAGGCTACCCCGTAATCTTCTCTTGCTCGTGGGGATGCATCCAGCGAGGCGCTCCATGTTGCACCTCAGACTCTTGTCGATTCATAGGTCCATGATCATTGAGATGTAGGGAAATGGACGGCCTCCAGGAGGGAGGCGGGAGGACGGAGGAATATAGGGGAAAGACGCAGGAAGAGAGACTTCGGAGAAGGAAGGAAGAAAATGGAGGGGGTGCGACGAGTAGTGAGAGGAAGAGGGGAGGAAGCCTACTCACCACCTATCTGTCTTTGAGTTGTCGTCGTCGCCGTCCATCATCGTCGCCGCCGCCGTCGTGGTCGTCGTCGCACCTGTCGTCCACTCGGAGTCGCTCCTACGCCCAGGCACTCAAAATCCCACACGCACAGCGCGCGTGCCAGGACATGATATGCGCATATGGGGATTGCCGCATCGAAACTGTCTTGTACACCATCACCCAGCCAACAACAACAACAACAACAACTGAAGTCTGGGGTTTGGAAGGGGGTGCGAGAGGCGAAGGGAGGGGGTCAGGGGGAAGAACGGTCGGCGTGTGGCGATATGAAGTGGTAAGTTCTAAGGTGGACGGGGGGACTCTGCTTGCACGGGCTTTTGTGTCCAGGCGGGCTATCCGCACACAGGCTTGGCGCAGTTCGCTGGTCTTTCGAATTGGCAGCCCGAAGTTCAGAGCCAGCGCGCTAGACCACTCGTCGGCGTCGGTCGTCGTCTTTGTCGTGCCCCAGGCGTTCCCAGATGGATTCCGTAGGCCGCAGGAGCCTCCCGTGCTTGCCATGGACGTTCCCAGGAGGGCTTCAAGAGGCCGCAAGAGAGCCCAGGTGTTTGCCAATCTGTTTCAAGAGAGTCCAAAGGAACCCAAGCAGGCCAAATAGGCACCAAGGCCAGGCGGAGCCAGGGAACGCCCAGAAGCTCCCCGCAGCCTGGAGCGTCTGGCTCGTGGCCCGAGGCATCTTTGCGCAAGAGGTGCTTTTCTCCTTCTCGACCTAGTGAACTTTACACGAACTTGTTTTCTTCGCCGCCGGGGCTGGCCAGGGCCATGATGCCGTCCTCATTCGTCGCCCTGCTGCTGCTGGTTTCGCTCGCGCGCCACGGCGAGCGGCCGCGCGCGCCCAGACGCGGAGTCCCAGCTGCTCCAGCTCTCGAGCAATCAGAGCTCTGGCGGCGGCGTCGGCTCGGGGCTGGCGGCCACGGACCTGACTTCCGTCGTGTGGCCCACCCGCGGCGGACCTCAGCTGAGGAACAAATGCTCACTACCGCTGCTCGCCCTGGAGAGCCTTCGTCGCCACGGCTGGATCCGCCTCGAGATTCTGGCCAGAACGCACCCCAGGAGAGGTCAAGGGAACAACGGTATGTGTATCTTTTCGCTCCCCAGGACAGACGAGCACCTGCTGCCGCTGCACCTACGTCATGCGCATCCGCGTCCCGGCCGCGAACATGCCCGCCGGCCCGCAGCAGCTTCGCATCAAGTTCGCACGGTCGGACAACGGCATCGCGTACGTGGCTTTCGGTGAGGAGCAGTCCCCAGGAGTGATGAAGGCTGGCACCATCACGAACCTGTGTTTTCACGGGCAGGTCGGCGACTGTACCACGGCCGTGTCTCTTCAGGCTTCTGCGTTGTACACCGAGTGGTTCGACTACACGATCGACACCGCCAAGAATTATTACGTATCATACCTTCACCTCTGCGGCCCTGGCGGTCCCTCGTCGGGGGCAACCCCTGACGGCGTGGCGTTCAGCGGTTACAACACTGATTCGAACGACGAATACACGTACTGGTCAATTTCTGGTACTTATACGTGGTACAACGCCCTCCGCGAAAACGGTCTGGCCAGCACCATTCGCGGACCTTATGCGCTCGTGTACGGCCACTACTCACGCGATCCGGGCGCCAGCATCACAGGCGGCTGGGAAACCGCGTATGGAATCGAAGGCATCCAGGGTATCGAGTCCACGCCAATCCCGACGCCCTACCCGACGCCGTATCCGACGCGTTACCCGACGCGTTATCCGACGCCGTTCCCGACGCCCTACCCGACGCCGAGCCCGACGCCGAACCCGACGCCGAACCCGACGCCCTACCCAACGCCCTGCCCGACGCCGTATCCGACGCGTTACCCGACGCGTTACCCGACGCCGTTCCCGACGCCCTACCCGACGCCGTACCCGACGCCGTATCCGACGCCGAACCCGACGCCGAATCCGACGCCGAGCCCGACGCCGAACCCGACGCCGAACCCGACGCCCTACCCAACGCCCTACCCGACGCCGAGCCCGACGCCGAACCCGACGGCCTTCCCGACGCCGTACCCGACGCCGAACCCGACTACGTCGGGTGACGTGCATCTCCAAGGGGATGAATGCGAGACGCTGACCCTGGATTGCATGGTGGCAGGTACGATGAAGGTCTCATATTCGTATGTGCATTGCAACGGTGCGACCCACGATCATGCCGAGTACACGGCCGAAGCGGGCCAAGTTTGTAACGGTCGTTCAACTTGTGCGGTCGGCTACAATGGAGGTGGTTGCAGTTGCGGCGCGTGCTCCGACATCCGGGTATCTGACCCTTGCCCTGGAAAGAGCAAAGTGTTGCATGTGTTATATCAGTGCGAGGCGACGGCAAGCCCGACGGCGAGCCCGACGGCGAACCCGACGGCCTTCCCGACGCCGTACCCGACGCCGAACCCGACTACGTCGGGTGACGTGCATCTCCAAGGGGATGAATGCGAGACGCTGACCCTGGATTGCATGGTGGCAGGTACGGTGAAGGTCCCAGATTCGTATGTGCATTGCAACGGTGCGACCCACGATCATGCCGAGTACACGGCCGAAGCGGGCCAAGTTTGTAACGGTCGTTCAACTTGTGCGGTCGGCTACAATGAAGGTGGTTGCAGTTGCGGCGCGTGCTCCGACATCCGGGTATCTGACCCTTGCCCTGGAAAGAGCAAAGTGTTGCATGTGTTATATCAGTGCGAGGCGACGGCAAGCCCGACGGCAAGCCCGACGGCGAACCCGACGCCGTACCCGACGCCGTTTCCGACGCCCTACCCGACGCCCTACCCGACGCCGTACCCGACGCCGCATCCGACGCCGTATCCGACGCGTTACCCGACGGGTTACCCGACGCCGTACCCGACGACGCCTTACCCGACGCCGTACCCGACGCCGTTCCCGACGCCCAACCCGACGGCCTTCCCGACGGCCTTCCCGACGCCGTACCCGACGCCGTCGGCGTCAACGCCTTCGCCAACGTTGGCGGCGACTCCGCCGACCTCGGCGACGGCCACCGGCGATCCGCACCTGCAAAACGTCCATGGTGATCGGTTCGACCTGATGACCCCGGGTAAGGTTACATTGGTCAACATCCCACGTGGTAAGCGCGTCGAGGAAGCGCTGCTTGCGATAGAAGCAGACGCGCGTCGCCTGGGTGGACATTGTGCCGACATCTACTTCCAAGAAGTGAACATCACAGGGGTATGGGCGGACAAGCTGAAGGCTGGGGGTGTCACCTTCAACGCCGAAGGCGTTCAGAGACACAAGGTGCCGAAATGGATGAATTTCGGGCCGCTGGAGGTCAAAGTCGTCCACGGGCGCACGGAGAAGGGGATACAGTATTTGAACCTCTTCGTCAAACACCTTGGGCATGCTGGCTTTGCAGTCGGAGGGCTACTGGGGGAAGATGATCACACTGAGGAAGCGAGGATCCCGGCACAGTGCCGGACCACGATTTCGCTGCTCAAGCCGAGCCGGACCAGCGTGCAAGTTGAGCGGTTTTCGGTCGCGACCTCCAGCTGAGTCGCGTTCCCGCCCATTTTGTTTCTTTCCCATTTTGTCTCCAACACCACCCCCGCTTCTTGTATTTGACTAGACTTCGTCCCGTCTCGCGACCCTTACGCATGGGGCGCGGCCGGCCCTCCCTTCCGATTTTTTTGATGTGGAGGGGGCTGAGGCGGAGGCCGTCCTCGAGGGCTCTGGCGGACATTCGGCTCCAGGCCATCTCGATCTCCGCAGCGCTGCCAGTTCCAGCGGCGCTCACTCCTGAGAAGTTTCACTTGCGGGACCCCCCGAAAAGGTCTCCCCAAATGGCCCCGGGAGGCCGGGAGGGCCCTGGGATGGATCCAGGAGGCCGCCCAGATGGTTCAAGAGCAGAGGTGCGCAAGTACACATAAAACGGGGGACCGGGTCCAGGGGCCGGAGGCTGGCGCCTCGACCACAAATGTGGGGCCCGGGCGTCATTTTCCGTGTGTTTTTCAAGGGTTTTGGGCGACCTGGGGCCAACAGGGCCCAAAGAGGCTTCAGGGAGGCCGCAGGAGGCCGCAGCGATGGCTCCAGACGCCTTCCAAGACGACTCCCATGACGCCAAGAAGGCCCCCGGAGTCCCCGGAGAAGCCCCAAGAGGCACCCCGACAGAGCCATAATAAGCAAAAATCGTAACTTTCCTGTTGGGAAACTGATGTTTGTTTGGCGTGTTCGCCTTTTGGGCTTCCACTGCGTCCAAGACGGCCCAAGAGGCCCTCAGGACTGCCCCACCGGCTCCCAAGAGGGCTCCAAGACGACCCCAAGAGGGTCCCAAGACTGCCCGGGAGGCCCCCAAGACAGCCCAAGAGAGTCCCAGGACGAGCCCCAGAGAGGTTCCAGAGGTGCACAACCATATTCAGATGCCGAGCTTTCGGCTCCAGAGGCTCCCAGGAGGCCCCAAGAGGTCCCCCAGAGGCCCCAAGAGGCCCCCAAGACACCCCCAGGAGGCTCCCGAGAGGCACCCCAATAGAGCCCCAAATAAGCAAACCTTTTAGGCTTCCATTGCGTCCAAGACGGCCCAAGAGGCACCCAAGCCGGTCGAGGATGCCCACAAGAGGGCTCCAAGACGGCCCACGAGGGGGCCAAGGCGGCCCATGAGGCGCCCAAACCGCCCAAGAACGCCCCAAGTCGGCGACAAAGACGGGGACGAGGAACCGAAGATGCGAGCCATTTGGCCCAAGAGGCCGGCCCCCAGGAGACCCCAAGAGGCTCCAAGAATCGCCCAAGAAGCCCCAAGAGGCCCCCATGAGACCCGCAAAACACCAAAAGAGGCCCCAAAGACGCCCCAAGGGGCATCCCAATAGAGCCCCAAATAAGCTAACATCGTCGATTTTTGAAAGAAAACTATTATTTTTGGCGTGTTCGCCTTTTGGGATTCCACTGCGTCCAAGACGGCCCAAGAGACACCTAAGACGGCCGAGGATGCCCACAAGAGGGCTCCAAGACGGCCCACGAGGAGGCCAAGACGGCCCACGATATGCCCAAACCGCCCAAGAACGCCCCAAGTCGGCGCCCAAGACGGGGACGAGGAACCGAAGATGCGAGCCATTTGGCCCAAGAGGCTGGCCCCCAGGCGACCCCAAGAGGCTCCAAGAAGCGCCCAAGAAGCTCCAAGAGGTCCCCAAGAGACCCGCAAAAACACAAAAAGAGTCCCCGAACACGCCCCAAGGGGCACTCCAATAGAGCCCCAATAAGCACAAATCGTCGATCTCCTGTGGGAAAACCTATATTTTTGGCGTGTTCGCCTTTTGGGCTTCCATTGCGTCCAAGACGGCCCAAGAGGCCCCCAGGATTGCCCCACCGTATCCCAAGAGGGCTCCAAGACGACCCCAACAGGGTTCCAAGACGGCTCGAGAGGCCCCCAAGACAGCCCCAGGACGAGCCCCAGAGTGGTCCCAGAGGTGCACAACCATATTCAAATTTCGAGTTTGTCCACGATTGCCCGAAGATGACTTCGGAACGCTCGAAAACGCGCTCCGATGGCTCCGGATGCCTTTCAAGACGGCTCCCATGACGCCAAGAAGGCCCCCGAAGGCCCTGAATACGCCCCAAGAGGCACCCCGAGAGAGCTCCAATAAGCAAACATCGTAGTTTTCCTTCCGGGAAACTGATGTTTTTGGCGTGTTCGCTTTTTGGGCTTCCATTGCGTCCAAGACGGCCAACGAGGCACCCAAGCCGGTCGAGGATGCCCCCAACAGGGCTCCAAGACGGCCCACGAGGAGGCCAAGGCGGCCCATGAGGCGCCCAAACCGCCCAAGAACGCCCCAAGGCGGCGCCCAAGACGGGGACGAGGAACCGGAAATTTACGCTCTTTCGCCCAAGAGGCCCCCAGGAGACCCCAAGAGGCTCCAAGAATCGCCCAAGAAGCCCCAAGAAGCCCCCATGAGACCCGAACAAAACACCAAAAGAGGCCCCAAAGACGCCCCAAGAGGCATCCCAATAGAGTCCCAAAGAAGGAAAGATTGTCGATTGCCTATAGGGGAACTGATATTTTTGGCGTGTTCGCCTTTTGGGCTTCCACTGCGTCCAAGACGGTCCAAGAGGCACCCAAGCCGGTCGAGGATGCCCACAAGAGAGCCCCAAGACGGCCCACGAGGGGGCAAAGACGGCCCCCCCGTTGCGCCCAATCCGCCCAAGAACGACCCGAGTCGGCGCCCAAGACGGGGACGAGGAACCGAAAATGCCAGCCATTTGGTTCGAGAGGCCCCCAGGAGACCCCAAGAGGTTCCAAGAAGCGCCCAAGAAGCCCCAAGAGGTCCCCAAGAAACCGCAAAAACACAAGAAGGCTCCAAGACGGCCCACGATTTGGCCAAGGCGGCCCACGAGGCGCCCAAGAACGCCCCAAGTCGGCGCCCAAGACGGGGACGAGGAACCGGAAATTCGCGCTCTTTCGCCCAAGAGGCCCCCAGGAGACCCCAAGACGCTCCAAGAAGCGCCCAAGAAGCCCCAAGAGGCTCCAAGAGACCCGCAAAAACACAAAAAGAGGCTTCGAACACGCCCTAAGGGGCACCCCAATAATCAGAGCCCCAATAAGCGAAACTCTTGGATGTTCTATAGGGACATTTTTGATACCGGAGAAGAGCCTCAATCAGATGTTTTAAGGCTATTAGGGCTATAGGGATGCAAGGCTATAGGGCTATTAGTGCTATTGGGCTATAGGGATATATGGCTATAGGGATATAAGGCTATTAGGGCTATAGGGGTATCAGGCCATAGGCCTACAGGGCTATAGGGCTATACGGTTGTAGGGCTATAGTGCCATAGGGCTACTGGGCTATTGGGCTATTGGGCACCCCCGGGCACCCGCGGGCACCCCGGCACCCGGGCACCGGGGCCCGGCCACCGAAATCGGCCACGCACCTCACTGGCCACCCGGGCACCGGGCACCGCCGGGCACCCGGGCACCCGGGCACCCGGGCCCGGCCACCGAAATCGGCGACCAACCTAACTTAAGCCTTTAATCCGCTAGGACCCCTACCCTACAGAGGCAGGCTCTGATTCGGGAATCTTTCCCAACCATCCTGAGGTGTTGGGTCCTCGTTTTGAAGAGACAGCCCCCGCGTCCTCCTTTCCTCTCCTCCCGCTGCCTCCCCTCCTGCTCCTCCTAGTCCTCACCCTCCTTGCCTCTGCCCCTTGCATGTCTCTGTTACGGCGCACCCCTCAAAGGGTTCGTGGCCCTATAGGGAGTTGCACCGAAGGCCCTAGTGGCAGCGTTCGCATGCAGTTCCGCCCTCACTTCGGCGAGCCCCTCACAGGGTTCGTGGCCCCATAGGGAGCTCCACCGAAGGCCCCAGTGGCAGCGTTCGCATGCAGTTCCACTTTAAGGGTAGCTCTTTGGGAGATGTTATAGTATCGGGAGCATAGCTCGCGCGCCGTTGCCATTTTGGCTCAAGGCACGCGCGCCCTATTTGCCCGGACACCGCGAGTGTTCGCTATGTG